AGGAGTTTACAACCAGATAGAAGCACCTGTGGATAGGATTCTTTACTACAATGGCTGTGTATATTTGCCACGGGTGAATGCATTAATTACCCAAATTTTATTCCACTATCATGATTGTCCAGAGGCCAGTTATTTTGGGGGGAAGAAGATGATTGAGTTGATTAAGCACAATTTTTATTGGAGGAATATGAAAGTTAATATCCTTCAGTATTATAAATCATATGAGCTTTGTCAATGAGTAAAGGTGCCATAGGAGAAGCCAAGGGGACTTTTACAACCTTTACCTATTCTTTAGAGCCATTTGTGTAATATCTCTATGGACTTCATCACTTGTTTGCCACAAACATAGAGGCAAAAAGAGCAAATATGGGTTATAGTGGATTGGTTGATGAATAGCTCTTCGAAAGATTATCACTGCTTTAGACTTGATTGCAGTCTAATTGGAGAAGGGTTTTCTTAATTTTAGTTTGCCAGAGGACATCATTAATGATCGAGATTTAAAGTTCACTAGTGGATTTTGGAAGAATTTTACAAAGGCTATGCAATGACTTTGAAACTTTTGAGTGGAGATCATCCTCAAACAAATTAGCAACCTAAGTATATGAATCAGGTGGTTGAGGATATATTACACTGTAACATTGGTCAAAGGCAAGAATAGTGGGATTTATATTTTTTTTTTGTGCAATTTGCCTACAATAATAGCCAACACAGTGGAACCAAGCTAAATCCTTACTTTGTCATAGTTGGAAGGCATCCCTGAATAGTAGTGGAGTTGGGATTGCATTTGAGTATGGATGTTCAAGATAAGCTTGACTCAGAGGCAACTGATTTAGCCATAAAACTTGATGAGATGCTAGTGGTGTGTAAACAGAATTTACAGACAGCTTAGGATAGAGTGGAGAAGTTTGCTAATAAGCATCACCAATTCCGGGAATATAAGGTGGGTGATCTCGTCTTTGTGTGAGTGATCTTTCCGTCAAGAAAGCGGCAAAACACCTTGGTGCCTTTATGGAATGGGAAGAGTGATAAACTTTCTTATCGGTATGCTGGTCCATATGAAGTGCTGGAATGCATCGGTAAGTCAGTTTATCGGGTGTGATTGCCAACTGGGGTGAAAATCCATCCAATATTTTATATTAACTAGTTGAAAGGTGTACTATCTCAGAATAAAGGGCCCAATGCCTTGTTAATATATATGGCTATAAAATATGGACCAAGAGCTTAAGCAGGGTACAACTAGTCACCCCTTTAGCCAGTTGGTTTAGGGTGTAAGGGATAGGATTCTAACATTCAAAAAGATGCAGGTGATCTTGTTATTCATCAGTTTTCTTTTTGAAACAATGTGAATATTTCTGCGAACAGGACCTTATTGGCAAGAAACTTATTTCTGCAGGACATTATATCAGCTACAGTGGAGTCATAGTTTCTGCTAGAAATGTTTTTGCCTAATTGTGGCATTGAAGTAAACATTCCAGCTTCAGAACCAGACACAGCGGCTTTCAGTGCGCTCTTTTTGGAGGAACTTGGACTTATTTATGAGGTTGGTGTTGTTGAAAGCATTCATGTTCTATTAACTCAATTCCTCTTGTGCAGGTTCATCATGGCAACTTGGGCAAAGTGATTGAAGTTCTTCAAAGTCACAGAGTAGTCTGTGAAGTATTGGGACGTGTGAGATTAGAGCCAACAGTAAACTCTCTGTCAATGGTAAAATATACATTGACAAGCAGAGAGTGTCTCTCCCGGACACCTGGGAGGAGACCTGTTTTGCTTTGGAAAAGCAGAAATGGCTCGAGTCCTGCGTGGAAGCTGAGCAAGAAGGGGTGAGTTCGAGGACCACTCCACTCTGGAATCTTCCTTCACTGCCCACAAAGATCAACAAGCAAGCTCTAATATCGACAAAAAAGCACAAGGCGCAAATAAGGCAATGGTGACTAGGAAATGGCACTGTGCGGGATTTGATCCCACGTCCGACTTACTGGACGGGAAGAGACTTTAGAGGGCTGCTCTTCGTTGGCAGTTTCAGCTATGGAGACGCCCTCAACTCCGCCAAAGGTTGGGCCAGAACTTTACGATTCAAAAGTCTCTTCTTGACGAGGTAATTTCCTGAAGCATCCTGACTCCTTGGTGGCGGTGAAAACCACATGTACTGGACATGGCCTTCTGTCGTCCTAACGCTTGGATTCACTTGCAAGCACAAATACAAAACTCCAACATCTACTTTTGAGCTGAGTCCCAGTCTAAATGAAGATGGTGGTGATGATCCAGCAGCCTAATCGAGTTGGGGCCTCTAGGATCAATGTTGGCACAGACGCTTTTGCTGTGTCATCGAGCTCACCCAGGTCTGTGTGCCTTTACATTCTCAACTCCTCTCGTTTGCTCACTTTGTGTATGTTCCAGAGAGAGATGACAAGTCATGTTTTTCTCGTCAAATGAGTGAGGTAAGAGAGGCTTCCTCCCATTTGTGCCGCTGTAAACTATAAAAATGCTTCCTTTGATATTTTCTGACCAGTTCTGCTGCAGAATAGGAGACATTTTGCCTCGTAATTTTGCTGGTAGTGTTTTTTCTTCCTCTCTCTTGTAGATTTCCATTGTTTTCCTTTCCTTTCTTCGTTTGCGAAGGTTCAAGAACACAACCATCCACACTTGCTGCTCCTGCAAAACAGGAATACGTTTTTCAAGCTTCCCGGAGGAAGACTTAAGACTGGAGAAAACGGTAAAGAAGCTTTCTTTCATCGTTCATGCTGCTAACTTTGATTTTTTAGAGGTGGAAGGATTGAAAAGGAAACTCACAAGAAAGTTCACTCCAACACCAGCTTTGATCCTGCCCGGCTGGCAGGTACGATGGAAGGACATGAAGACAGAGGAAGAACTTTGGTTTTGTTCATTTTCAATTCTTCCAGATTGGAGAGTGCTGCTATATCCTTACTGCCCTCCTCACATCACCAAATCAATGGTATTGATCTTTGCTCTTTGTTACTCGCCACTCTTTGGTATGATCTTCTCTTTTCTTTTATTTTTTCTTGTGTCAGGAGTGTAAGAAGGTTCTCCTCCCTGAAAAATAATACTTTGATGTTCCAAAGAATCTCAAGCTACTGGCAGTTCCATTGTTTGAGCTCTACAACAGTGTACAGGGAAAAGAAGAAACACTTAATGACTGACACTTCTTTTCTTGTTTGCTTGCTTTGAGAATTTTTTTCTCCTCCTTTGCTGATGTGAGAATCGTTACTGCAGAGATATGGCCCTGTGATCTCCACCATCCCCTAGCATCTTTCAAGGTTCACCTTCAATGCCATTAACGGCTGAACTCTGCCAGTCTGGGTGAAGTTTTTTCTTCTTTTTTCTCTGTTTTATAAAACTATTAACTTACTATGAATGCAAGCTTGCCAGAGTACACTTATCAAAAGCTCAATAGAACGGCCTCAGTATGTACCAAGAAGAGTTGAGTATCAGTGAATGGAGAAAGAGCTTTTAGTTTTCTTGTCAAAACTGTAATCAGTACTATCTTGTCTTACCTCGATGAAAGCACGATCTCGGCTCGTGAAGGAATCAGTAAAACTCTTCTTCAAAAGCAACGAGACCTGGACGGGATATGCGTCATTAGAAGCATGGATGATACAACAAGCCGGAGAGACTTACTCGGTCATTATTAGATTGAACGTTTGTGATCGTGTTAGCACGTACATCCGTGCATAGTGATTCTTAGTAGCTTCTAAGAGTCTTCAAAAAGCCATCCGCTGCCTGTGCCTGTAATGCCGAAACAATCTCTCATTTAGTCGCACCAACCGGAGCAAACTACCTGTGATTCCGTGTACTTGTGGTCTGGATGTCTCTTTGCCTTAAAGTCTACAGCCGCGAGCTCGGAGTGATATGTTTCCAGTGCCGCTACCAGCTCTCTCTGTCTCGGTAACTGAGGCAAGTAAGAAACTGTCACCTGCGAAGGAAGCTTTCAGCTGGTCATGCGATTGCTAATGGTTTTCCCTTCTCGTGTAGTAGAAGGGCCACGAGAGACTTCTTGCTTCATTGCCGTGGCCAAGGCTTATGATAAGGCCACTCGCGGGCGATCAAAGAGGAGCCGCTCTCTCGCTAACACGCTGCTGGATATGTATGCCAGATGCGGGTGCAGGGATCGTGCTCACGAGATTTTTGATGGATTGGGTCTTCTGCTTGACAGTGCTAATCCTTGGATACGACCAGAACAAAGACAAGTTCGTCCGTGGGAAGTGGGTGAAGCTCTGGTGTCTGGAGGAGGGAAAACTTCCCCATGAGTTGGTCTTGAGGATTGGTCTCGAGGAGGATATCGCTGAGAAGGTATGGATCCTGATTCTAGGACTTTCATTGTGTGGGTAAAAACATGCGATGCTTTTCCAGGCAGCAAGTCTTCGGCCTTGAGGATTGGAGCGAGAATTTATTCATAGCTCATGGAGAGTGAATACGAGCGTGATATTTTGGTAGCAAGCACTATCATGAACATGTTTGCGAAGTGTGGGAGCATGGCCAGAGCATAGGATCCGTTCAACAAGATTGCGAAACCTTGCCTTTTGTCTTGGAACTCAATCATGATGGAGGTGTCGAAGGTAAGCGTTCTCTTGAGTTTTCCTATCACACAGATGGAGAAGGACTGACACTGGATGCTCATAGTTTTGTAACAGCTCTTAAAGCTTGCCCAAACTTGGCAACTGCTGCAACAGAAAAAGAGGTATCTGACGATGCTATGTTGCTTCTATGCATGGAAACATATCAGTGAGAAAAATACACAGAGCGAGAAAAAATAACAAATAGCGAACAGAAAAATCAGCCAAATACTACCTTGTGTTTCTTTCAGCTGGATTTATCATAAGAGAATTGTAAACCGGAATGTTGAGCCCGAGGCCTCGGAGATAGGCGTCGTCACTAGCACGATTGGACAGACTTTCACAAGTTTAAACATATCACGTGACGCACCAGTGAGAATCATTTCTTAGCCATTTAACGTTGAAGATTTTAGGGCTTATTTACAGCCAATGGCAGACGCTTTTGAGAGTCGCATCGATATTTTCTTGCGAATGCGGCCCATAGAAAAGAACTTGGCTTCGTACGAGGTGGACCATGATGACGGCAGGGTTAATTGGGTTGTTCCTAGGCAAGCTGCCATTGGAATTGTAAATCATCAGCGCGAGCGCTACAGCTTTACTTTCAATGGCATTTTGGATACGGATTGTAAGCAAGATTTGGTATTCGAAACAGTTGCTAGAAAGGTAAATCAGTTGCAGTTTAGCCACAGAAGTAGGCAAGTTGTCTTTGGGTTAGCAGCTCTTTCTATTAGAATCTGGAATGAAAACAGGCATGTTGACCACAGGTGGTGCTTGGTGCCTTGGATGGGTTCAATGGCACAATATTTGCATACGGCCAGACCGGTTCAGGCAAGACTTATACAATCACCGGCGGGACCGAACGTTACGTTGATCGAGGAATTATTCCACGCGCAATTTCCCTTATTTATAGTGAGCTCGCAAACAGGAGTGATAATTGTTTCAGCATCCATTTCTCGTATATGGAGATTTATAATGAAACTGGCTATGACTTGCTTAACCCCGATCATGAAACAAAGTCATTGGAAGATCTTCCTAAGGTCCATTGCATAACTATTGTTTACCAGGCTTACTTGGTTTTTTAAGGTTGTCTTGCTGGAAGATGATGACACCCGTATTCATCTGCGAAACCTTTCCGCTCACCTTGCAATGTACGTTTTTGGACATAGCTATTCATGATGTTCTTCTTACATTCTTAACAATTTAGGAATGAAGAGGAAGCCCTCAACCTGCTGTTCATGGGTGATACGAACAGAATGATCAGCTCGACACCAATGAACATGGCCAGTAGTCGCTCGCACTGTATTTTTACAGCGTGCATTGAAGCTCGAAAGACTGGTGAAGATGTTGTGAGAAAATCTAAGCTACATCTTGTTGATCTTGCTGGATCAGAACGAGTCAGTAAGACGGGAGTTGATGGTCAGGTAAGTCATCCCAGACGAATTATCTCACTAAACCTTGTTCATTTCTGTACAGATTTTAAGAGAGGCAAAGTATATTAACCTTTCTCTTCATTTCCTGGAGCAGGTATATTTTACTTTTAAGGTCAGATATATTTGACGTCAATTATGTAGGTTATTATAGCATTGCAAGAAAAAAGCCAGGGAAAGTCTAGAACACATATTCCGTATAGAAACTCGATGATGACATCAGTTCTTAGAGATTCTATAGGAGGAAATTGTCGAACGGTAAAATGGACTCCTTTCTTTTTGGACATACAGTTTTGCAGGTTATGATAGCCAATGTATCAATTGCGCAAGAGCAATTGGAGGAAACAATTTCGACTTGCCGCTTTGCACAACGAGTTGCCATGGTCTCAAACCAGGTGAGAAAAGTTGTCTGTACTTTGTGTTGACGATGCATACAGGTCATGTTGAACGAGGAAGTGGATCCCAATATCGTTATTAAAAGATTGAAACAAGAGGTTAAAGATCTTAAAGTAAGATAAAAAGACTGTTTGTAATAATGTTAAACAGGAACTGTCTTACTTTTCACAGGCTGAAGTAATGTTTCTAAGGGGTGAGGATGTTGATCGAGGGCCACTGACAGACAGAGAAATTGCTATGGTGAAAAATCAAGTTAACGCTTATGTGTATGACCTCTCGCCTGAAGCATCATTCAACTGTGGAGGTGTTCATACTTCACATGGTCATTTCAATATTTAATATTGACTTCAGGAAACATGCTACATATTCGAGCTGCATTTCAAGCTTTTAAAGAGCTTGCAACAGCTGGAGTTGCCGCAAAGAGGTGTTCTAATTTACAAAGCAGTGGCGCACATATGGAAATGAGTGGTGGTTCGCCCCTTCATGAAACTATCCAGAATCTTAATTGTCAGGTTAATCTACAAAATTTCATTTTCATTTTAAAAGATATCTTATATCTACAGTTGCAACAACGAGAAAACGAGATTAACATTTTAGTTTCCTTCATAAGAAAGCGGGAAGCTGGCATTACGCGGGCAAATGCATGGACACAAGTTGATTCTATCCAGCTTTCAGGGCGGACAGATAGTAGAGATTCGGGATTTACACTGGATGGTACAGAGGATGGAATGATCCCTAGCAACACCTCCTCGAGGGTAGCAAGCTCCATGGATTCGAGAGACAATAGTAGCCTGTCTAGTTTTGGCAGTGATCGGAGACAAGCTTTTGATCTGTGAGCACTCTTTTTCTGAAAGTTAAAACTGGCGCTCTTTATGTGTAGATTTTGGAGAAACTATCCAAGCATGGATGCTATTGAAGAAAACAAAGCACTTTTAAGAAAGAAGTACGGTGAAGCTAAGTTATTGGGCGAGGGGGCCAACAAAGCCCGTGAGGTATTTAACCTTTATTGAAGTGTATTAGAGGTTTGCCTTTTTCTTGGTTTAGATGATAAATGGTCTCAAAGTCAAGATTGAAAAACGTAGAGTTGAACGTGCAATGGAAGACCTCGTACATGGGAAAACTAGTATTTTACATGTCGATGTTGAAGAAGATAACCTTATTTTACAAATTGAAAACGAAAAGGTATATAATTTAGCTGACACCAGGGTACTTTAAGTTGTTATGAAGCAGAAAACATATAAGGATGGGTTTAGCAAGCTGCGTGACCTGAAAAGAGAAATTGAGCATCTTCACTTGATTCTTGAACAGAGCCGAAGTAAAGTCCAGGCGAGTTTCCTAAGCATTACATTGTTTTAACTTAATTAATGTGGTCCTAACAGGCTGATTTTGAAAAGTGGTTCAGTGCAATGTGTCGTGATCAGCAGTCTTCTGCACCATCTCCTATCTCTTTGACGTCTGCTTCTGATTTATCAACAATAGATACATACCAAACTGAGAAAAATCGGTCGTTTAGAAGCACACCGGAGAGAAACGTAAGTACAGGCCCGAGTGAATATTATTCAAGTGTAACTAAAAATGCTCCTGCGGTTATTGACTATCTACACGGCTTGGAGGCTGACATTGAAAAACCGCTACGCTCTGGTAATGTCTTTAAAAACAGTAACTTCATCTTTCTTCTCCTATTCCGTTCAGGGAGATCCAGAAACTCACACGGCCGAGCCAATGGAAATGCATCAATTATGCGTACAGGGAATGAGAGCACTGATGCTGATATCAAAGCATTTTATAAAGCCAGGTCCGAAATTATGAAGCTTAAACAGCAACAACAGCAAAGACAATGTAACAATCTATTGCATGACTAAAATAAAAAACACGTCAGGAAAGAATGAAGAAATTTATTCCACTAAATCACTATTGTAAAGAAAAAGTATTTGAAAAACTATATGATTCCTTATGTTGCTTAGCATTTTTCGGGAATGGAGCCCTCTAAGGTTTCTTTGTCTCTAAGAGCTTATTGCTCGTCTTGTGTTTCAAGGTTTGCCCACTGTGAGGAGGTTAATGAATAGTAGAGGGACCACAGAAAAATAAATTGCATTGCATGCATGTAGGAGTAGGATCCCTTGCTCCTTTGAGTGGGCTGTAAACGCACGTGTATATACACATAAACCCTAGACCTGCTCCAGTTCCAGAAGAAGACCCATCCCTCCCAAGGGTGGTGACTTGCTGGATGGAACCTTGGCTTGGTTTCTTCATGGCTGCAGTAGAAAGGTCTACGAAACTGATCCGGTTTGGCTATGCCTTTTGTTTGCTTTCTGTAAGTGTGTACCTCTAGCTCGGGTTGGCACATCTGTTTTCTTCCTCTCCTTCTTTTTCCACAGCTCTCTACGTTTGGTTTTTGGTTACCACGACGCTTGCTCAGAGAAATTCTAAGAGGCCACTCTTTTTGTTTTTTCTCGCTTCCCACACTTTCCCACAGCCACACTGTGATCATACCAACAAGAATGAGCTAGCAGAAATATTTAAAACCAGAGCTTTGCAAAGCTTACAGTTCTGTTAGCTTCTTTGGTTACTTACAAACTTGCCCTTGGTGTCTTTAGCTATAGACAGCAGCAGCAGCAGCATCATACATGTCCTTCAGCACCCCCACCTTGCTCAGCATGCTGCAGCATTGTCACTGAGGATGAAGAAACCCGTCCCTTTGCACCATAAGCACTCTTTCTTGACGCAAGCTTGGCCGAAAAGGTATTCTCTCTAGAAGAATGTTCCCTTGAGATTCTCCACCCCGCCCTCCAGCAGCAGCATTTGCTTGTGTGGCCTTGGCAGCTTGGTTGGTTGGTTTGAGAGGAGCTGGGAGCCCACCTCCTTTCAAGGTGGACGTTTGGCATGCTCCATGCAGAGCATGGCAAACATTTCAGCTTTAAGCTTTGAAGAGTTTTCTGCTCAAAGCTTGGGTTGCTACGCTATGGCATCTATAAGAGTATCCTCTTTGTTGCCCAGCTGCTTGGGAGCTTGTATTTATCTTTGTTCAGTATATGCTTTAAATTAAATGTTTGCATTTAAACTTCACAAAGGTATGTTTTCAATTCTGACACTTATATTTTGTGTTTCCGAGCAGTGACAAGCGATGAAAGTGATGAAATTACAGAGAAATCAATGAAATCATAGAAATCATCAATTGTTGTGTGCCCAGAATGGATAGAGATGCAACCCAAGACCAGTTTCACTCTTGTTGGAGCTCATCAGCCGGGTTTAGGTCTCAAGAAAAACCATAACCTAGCCCCTAACTTAGCCCATGTCAATTTACAGTAAATATTCCTAGAATATTCTTTCTAAACCCTTGAGCAAGAGCATAGACGAGCTGTACTGGCACTAGAGCGTCAAAGAAATCCATGGCTGGGCTAGAGGCCCAAGCAAAGCATTGCTGAAAAAGGAGGGAAGAGGAGGGAAGAGAACTTTCTCCCAAATGAGCTCAAGATAGCTGCAAAGCATCGCATGGAGTGCTGTGGGATGGCTGGGTAGACGTCTTTCCTTTAGATTTTTTGTGACTGAATTGAGTTCCAGGCTGTTGCGGGCAATGGGCCACGTGCCATGGCCTAGTCTTTAGGCCTAGATCAAGCTAAAAGCAAGGAGATGGGCTTCACCAGTCATTTTCCTTGTAGTCAGTATGCAATTCTTCTCAATTTGAGTCTTTAGCAGCCAGCCACGACCTGAAAACAGCCGCTATAGCTGCTGCAACAGTTCCTGTGGCTTCCCAGCCGAGATCTTTGTGGTTTCCTAGGCGCTAGGGTTCTTTTGTTCAAGATTAGGTATTCTATGGCTTGATAAATGTGTATGTCAAAGACCTATTGGGACTAATAAAAGTGGGCATGCCGCCCCTCACTGCCTCATGTTATCTACTAGCATTCCTATGTGATGCCTACTCCTATGCCTCCAGTAGGAGGGGCTGTGGTCTTTTGCAATGTATCGTATCAAGGTCAATGTCTGCACTCCTAGCTGCCTTCTGAATCCTATCTGGTGGTTGCCACTTCCAATGAATCCCTGCGTCCCCTGCTTAAATGATCTGCTTAACCAAAAATACCTGCAAGGGACAGCCGTGCCAGGGTGTGATACCTGGCTGCCAATACAAAACGCCACATGATCCACTCCTACTTTCCCGCCGAACTGGATATGGACTGATGCGTGGCTTTTCAGGATTTCTGGCTACCTGAGATGATGGAGTACATGAACACTGATGATTTTGTGGCTCCCATCCCGGCTGTGCAGTACTTTTTACTGCTTTTAGCTGCAAAGAAACCAGAGCGCTTACGAGAGATCTTTGCATATGAGAAGAAGATCGCGGACAAGCTGCTCACGGTGCCAGAATCAGAGGCAGTTGGCAAGAACAAGCGATACCTTTGCCTCTTCCAGTAGGTTGAAACCAAAGAATGGTGGCACCTGGTCTAGACACTCCTTACCGATCAGGTGAATGATAACCAAGCTCTACTATGATGGTGGATGGCAGACAAGGAAAAAGAACTTGTTAATTTCTCCTCTACTGAACCAAGGATTACCTGGAAAATGCTCCAATGGTCCCAAGAGTACAATCGGGTTACAGGGTATAAAGGCTCATATGGGAAAGGCATTGATCTGGGGAAACCACAGATCAACCTTAGTAATGGTTTTGAGTTCCTGAGCCAAAATGCATGTTTGCTCGTGACTGGACTCATCCCATCACAGCCGGACACCTTGGAAGGAGCAAACGTGGACCATATTGATAATGGTCGTATCATGTTTGACCCGTTGGAGAATTTGAGTGGATGGAAGTTCCCCTTCGCCACCACACGAGTTCTCGATGCAGCCTCCCACCGCCTTCCAGAACTGCATAAGTTCTGGACACTCACAAATCTTTTAGGTTGGACGTCTCCCTTGGAGGCATCCAACTGGATCCAGATGGTGGCTTTGCTACGACTGGATGCAGTACAGTGGTCAAAACAAACACTGGAAGCATCATACGGACATGCAACACTGGGGAATTATGCTTACAAACCGGCTATCCCATTCCAAAAGACTACGGATGATGTTTTCAAGCAGGCTACTTTCCATGGACGCTGTGATGGTGATGCCTTTTTGAATACAAAAAGCTGGAACCTATCACAAGGAGATCAACGTACATGGAACCAGCTTTGACCATACTATTGCTGTGATTGCCAGGGATGTGAAGGAGGAATTGTCTGGCTTGACTCCTTGTTCTGGTACATGCTTAACAATCTAGACAAGTACTGGCCAGACTCAAGTTTGACATCATCAGACTGCCTTGCCATCTTCCTATCCCTACTCATGGCTAATCCGCAGGTGATCCTCCAGACAGCTGCCTTCCTTCAAATCTGAGAATGGATGCAAGCAGCCGCTATTGAGGTGGCAAAAAAGCCAGCTAACCGGGATCTGGAGTTCATCCCTCATGGACAAACTAAGATGAACATATGTAAGTTCATCCCTGTCCAGCAGTACAGGTCCCCAATGTCCTCACGACGTGACGGTAATGAAAGTAATGGAGCTTTCTCACCTACACTGTCCTCACAATGCACGCCGGCAAGGTCTTGAGGCTTACCACCAAATCGGAAACATGATCATCCCAACGGACAAATGTCCATGGGACTGACATCACAGGAGACAGGCACACCACCATCAATTTCCAAGACATTCGAGGCCAATGCAAGCTCGAACAAACAGAAGCTACGCAAAAGGCTTAGTGAAAGAAAGCAGCAATAAATAAATTTCTGTTTTCTCCTTCCATGATTGGTAGCTAATGAAAATGCTCTCGTGATTGCTTCCACAGTGTACTTTACACTACATCCAT